GGGCCGGTGGCTGGGGCGCCGCTCTCAGCGCCCGCTCGCCTCGCCCCGGGCCCGCAGGGTGAGCTCGGTGCTGAATCGCAACTCCCGGCAGTTTGGGAAGAAGCACCTGTTCGACCAGGACGAGGAGACGTGCTGGAACTCGGACCAGGTGCGCTCCTTCCGGGGCCCCCGTGGGGGCGCAGGTTCAGGGCTTGGGGGAGCCACGGCCTGCGGGAGGACTGGGCGGAATTCCCTTCCTTTCCCCGGGCTCCGATGCGGGAGCGAGCGCGGGCCTCAGTTTCCCCATCTCCCTCCAGGGCCCCTCCCAGTGGGTGACGCTCGAGTTTCCCCAGCGGGTGTGTGTCTCCCAGCTGCAGATCCAGTTCCAGGGGGGCTTCTCCAGCCAGCGGGGGCGCCTGGAAGGTACTGGGGATCCCCGGGAGCGGGAGCCGGGAGGGGGCCCCTGGGTGCACTGTGGACCCCTCTCTGCTGCAGGTTCGCAGCGGGGCGAGGCGCTTAGCAAGATTGTGGACTTCTACCCCAAGGACGACAACTCCCTCCAGATATCCTGCCCGGGCTGTGGGGCGGGGTGGGCCATCTGTGCCCCTAAAGCTCTGGTTTTGTTGGAGAACAGGGTCTTGCTGTGTAGCCCAGGCTGGTCTCAAACCCTTGGGTGATCCTCCTGCCTCGGCTGGGATGACAGGTGCGCAGTCACCTCGCCCAGCTGAAGCCTCTGAAAGCTTTAGGCCGCTTGGACCCTACCGGGAACCTGGAAATGTCCTTGAACAACTGGCCGCTAGGCTTCCATGTAGAAAACAGTGCTGATGGTGACCCGTGTGCCGGGTCTGGGCAGGTGGGGACCTTCAGGAGGGACACAGAGGCACTGTTTGCCTTGACTGCCCGTGTTCACACCTTCTCCGTGCCGCCTGCCGAGGTGGACCAGCTGAAGGTGACATTTGAGGGTGCCACGGACTTCTTTGGCCGCGTGGTCATCTACCACCTGCGGGTCCTGGGGGACAAGGCAGTGTGAGGCCCCTGCTGGCTGCCTCTTCCAGGGAGCCCTCGGAAGCACACGAGTTCTGCGCAGGCATTTATTGGTTCCTCTTGGGAGGGTCCCTTCCCCCACCTGTCCAGGAGCTGCCTTGGAAGCCAGGTCTGGTGCCCCTGAGCCCGGCCAGCCGTTCCATTCCCTGAGTGTCTGAGTCCCAGCCGGCGCCCTCACTCAGGGCCTGCGGGCCCCAGGCTGCTCTGGAAGAGCTTCAGGATGTGGTTCTCCATCACCTGTTGCACTGGGGCAAGGAGAGACAGCGTGAGAGGGACCGGAAACTGAGGGGCTGCGGCCCAGCCTGAGCCACACCCTCCGGCTGGGACACAGGGACCCCCTGTACACCTGGGGCCCCACCAACCTCACCTCCTGGAAGTTTGTACAAATGCTGCTTTGTTTGTTTTTTTGAGACAGGGGCTCACTATGTAGTTCAGGCTGGCCTTGAACTCACTATGGAGCCCAGGCTGCCTTCAAACTTAGAGATCCTCCTGCCTCAGCTTCCTGAGATTGTGCGCCACCATGGCAGGCTAAAAGCAGCTGTTTTAAAGCAGGATGCCCCTTATGTTTTGTGCCTTCCACATAGGCCCACCAGTCTTTTGAACTTGGACTTCCCAGTCCCTACAACCATGAAAATAAACCTCTTTTCTTTGTAACTCACACAGTTCTGGGTGCCTTTCTGTAGCAACAGAGATGGACTAGCACACAGGGCCACGCGTGGGCCAGCTGGGGCTCTCAGTGCCCTGTGACTGTCCTAGGATGGGACGGTGCTCCAAGCCAGGCAGGGGAGCCCAGCCGGGCACACAGCAGAGCCGACTGCTCCCTGCCAGCACCTGGTGGGAGGGGCCGTGCTGCACCCGCATGCCCCTTGGCCCCTCCCGTGGTGCCCCGGCCACCCACCTTTCCGGTATCCCAGGGCCACGGCGAGGTCCATCGGGGTGTAGCCGGAGTCGGCCTCCGTGGTGAGATCTGCGCCGCGGGCTGCAAGGCAGAGCAGGTGCTGGGGTGGGGCTGGGGACCCCTCGTATCTGACCACAGGTTCCCTGCACCCCTGGGACTCGGGCCCGATTGCTGCCGGCCCCCAGATCGAGCTCCCAAACGAAGTAGTGAGTGACTACGCAGGCCTAAACCCGGGGCTCCCCCAAGGCGAGCTGGGGCTGGGGGCCCGACTCACCCAGCAAGGCCTCCACACACTTCACGTGGTTCCCGCGCACGGCATACAGCAGTGGAGTCCCTCCGTTCTGTGGGGCGAGAGCAGAGGAGCCAGCGCTCACCGCCGTCCTCGCAGTGCCTCGTTCCCCTTCCTCTGCTCATCACCTGGCCCATCTTTCTTCTTCTTTTTTTTTTTTTTTGCAGTATCAGGATGGAACTCACGACCTTGCGCTTGCCAGGCAGGCACTTATGCCGCTGAGCTACATCCCCAGCCCCACCATCTTTTTCCTTGTGTCTCTGCATAGATGCCACCTCCTCCAGGAAGCCCTTCCTGGCCTCCTTTGGCTTCCTCTGTGCTCTCACAGCTGCCAGTGTGCCCACCATCACAGCACTATTCGCTGTTTTTCAGCTGCCTGTTATGTTCCGTCTCCTCCAGACTAGGAGCTCGATCAGGTGAGGAGGACAAGCTTGACTTGCTCCCCCAGCACCCTGGCAGGTGCCCCAGCGATGCCTGAGGGCAGTCACGGGGGCCTGCGGGCAAGGAGGGGTCTGGGACGGGGCGCCTCACCCAGTCGTAGATGTTGATGTCCACGTCACGTTCGAGCAGCAGCCCCACGATGTCCGTGTAGCCGCCCATGCTGGCCAGGGACAGGGCGCTCTCCCGCTCCTTGGCGAGGACATGGGGGTCTGCGCCCTGGGGGCAGAGCAAGTGGTGACGGGGACCCCCGGGGGGCTAGGGGGTCTCCTGGCAGGGCAGCCCTGCATCTCAGGTGAGGCACCGGCGGGAGCATGGCCCCTGCCCTCCACGGCCCCCGCGGGACGCACCCAGTCCAGGAGGAAGCGGACGGTCTCGATCTCGCCGAAGGCGGCGGCCCAGATGAGCGGGGTGAAGCCGCGCTCGTCAGGCTTGTTGATGAGGTTGTCACCTGGCGGGGGGGGGGTGTCACTGGCCTGTGGCCCTGCCTGCTGTCCCGTGTCACCCGAGTGGGGACCAGGCAGGGCCTGGGCAGACGCAGGCTCTCGGGTGGCGCCCCCAGGTCCCATCAGCACCCGCATGCACACGCCAGGGCACACGTGTGCCACGCACCTTTCCGCAGGTGCTCCTTTAGCTGGCTCAATTCCCCCTGGGCCGCGAGCTGGTGAATGGACAGTGCTGGGGACAGAGGGACAGGGTCTTGACCCATCCCATCACTTCCCCATGCCTCAGTTTACCCCCTCCCACCCCGCTACTCACAGTCCAGGGTGGCGGGCAGGGCTGAGACCTCGTTCCCCCGCTGCCGGTTGGTGAGGGTCGTGGAGTGCTTCAGTGAGCTGCCTGCGGGAGGTGGGTGTGCCTCAGCTTCCCCTTGGGACGTCACAGGGGCTCCCTGACAGACCCTGGAGGCTCCACCCGTCCCTCATGCCGCCCCCGGCACACCCCGGTTCATCTCTACTCCCTGTGCCTGGGGACCAGATGTCTGCACATGCCGGGAGCCCAGGGCACATGGCCGAGTGAGAATCAGGCTCCAGAGCTGGGCACCGCAGTCACACCTGCCATCCTGGTGCCCCGGGAGGCTGAGGCAGGAAGACAAAATTTGAACCCAGCCTGGCCAACTTAATGGCTCAGGGAGATCCTGTCTCAAAATAAAACCGAAAAATGGGCTGAGGATGCAGGCTCAGTGCAAAGGCCTGGGGGTTAACCCCTAGCACCACAGAATAAAAAACAAGGGGGGAGCCTCAGGGCCGAAGAGATAAGATACATGTTCCGAAGAGATAAGATGTAGAAAGAAAGGGCAACCGAGACAAGCTGATGGGCCGTGGCTCTGAAGGGACAGGAATTCTGACTCTGTCAAGCCGCAGAGGCTGCCGCTAGGGAGAGTATGGAAGAGCACGCTGAGCAGGGAATGGCAGGCGCGATTCCTGCAGTGACAGCGAACTGCACGTGAGGGTGACAGTCAAAGAGAAACCCTCATCTCTGGTTTTTTGGAGGCTGTGGGGAAGGACTGTGATTGCTAATAAACTGACTACTGATGGTCGGCTTATGATTCCCGGCCGTGCTGAGTGCCCGTGGTGCGGGGCGTGGGAGGCTCCTGAGGATGGTCACCATCCGCTGAGAGGCAGGAAGGGAAAGGGATACTGAATTACTCTTGTGGGTCTGAGTTACGTCTGGGTTCTAATGAAAGGCGACGGAGCTGGGTGATCGGGGCGGCCGCAGTCCCAGAGGCTGTGGGCCCCCTGACCCCAGACTTCTAGCTCTCGTTTCTCTTCTACTTTCCTTTACTCATCCGCGGGCGCCTCTTTCTTGGGACCTGTCACCACAGTTAATACCAGCAGGAGACAGTGTCTTACTACATAGCCCAGGCTGGCCTGGAACTCCGGAGATGCTCCCGCATCTGCCCTTGGAGTGCTGGGATCGTGGGGCATCGCAGGCCTTACGTGTTTTTCTTTTGAGACAGGGTCTTGCTACACTGTCCAGGCTGCCCTTGAACTTGCAATCCTCCCACCTCAGTCTCCCAGAGTGCTAGAATTACATAGTTTTTATTTTTAATTTTAACTTTTTTCTTTTCTTTTCTTTTTTTTCCTTTTTTGGTACCTGGAATCAAGCTCAGGATCTCAGGCTTGCCAGGCAAGCACTTATGCTGGGAAGCTATATCCCCAGCCCAAATTTTTGTCTTTTTGAGACGGTCTTGCTATGCAGTTCTCAAACTCAAAACGATCCTCCTGTCTCAGCCTCCCGAGTGCTGGGATACAGGTGTGCACCACCACGCCTGGCAATTTTTAAATTTTGAGTCAGGGTTGCATTAAATTGCCTATGTTGGCCTCAAACTTACAATCCTCCTGTCTCAGCCTCCTGGCTAATTGGGATTACTAGAGTGTGCAGCCGTGTTCTGGTTTTTAAAGACAGGCTCACATTAAGTTGCTCACACTGGCCTCAAATTTGTGATCCTCCTGCTTCAGCCTCCCCAGCAGCTGGGACTACAGCTGTGAGCCTGGCTCCTAAGAGTTTCTGGCAGGGAGTGCTGTGGTCTCTCTGGCTACCAGAATGTAGAAAGAATTGGATGAGGATACACCATGCTACCCCAGAACACGGATGGACTGTCATTAATGATCCCTTCTTCCCAGGTACCCAGCTTCCCACAGTGACCGCTTTTACCATGTTGGACAAATCTTCAATGTGGTCCACCCATACAATGGAATATTACTCAGCCAAGAAAAGGGTCAAAGCACTGACACCCTACAGTGTGCAGGAACCTGGAGAACATGACGCAGAGTGAGAATTCAGAGACAAAAGGCTCAGAGCGTACAACTCCACTGATACACAGCAATCACAACCAGAGTCCACAGGGACAGGAGAAATACAAGTGCTTGTCAGGGGCTAACGGGCACGGCCAGGGTTTCCTACCACAGTAACGGGAAAGTCTTGGAACTAGAGAGGAGACCGTTGTACAACATTGTGAATGTGCCAAATACCACTGCACTGTACTGCAGCTCTGGTTCAATGGTAAATTTCATGCCACAATAAAAAAAGTATACAAAATTGTGCCGGGTGTGGTGGTGTGTGCCTGTTATCTCGCAAGAGGCTGAGGCAGGAGGATCTCCATGAGTTTGGGGCCAGCCTGGGCTCCATAGCAAGACTCTGTCTCAGAAAAGAAAAACCAAACCAATATACAGAATTGTAAAAAAACAAACAAAAACCCAAATAAAGATCCCTTCAGGGTAGAAAGACAGGCCCTAAGTCAGGGTCTGAAGACAGGTTTTGTCGCGGCGGGGTGTCCCATGTCGCAGAACAGCGGAGGATCTTACCCTGCAGGGAGGAGGCGCTGGCATCAGCCTCAAGGTTCCCGGCCTCGGGCTTGCAGGGAAAGAGGCTGAGGACCACGGTGTCCGAGCCATCCGGGCCTTCGCCGCCAGGGTCTTCAGGGTCCCTGAGTTCTGGGGCAGGGAGCAGCTGGGTGGGGAGCTCCTCCGCAGGCCCGGTGGGCTCCATGGGGGGCTGCAGGAGCGGCGCGGGGTGAGGGAAGATGATTACCAGCAGTTCTTACAAACCAGGCACCAGCTACGTCCCCAGCCTTGCACGCGGAGGGTGGGTAAACTGAGGCTCGGATTCATGGCCGGTGCTGGGCAATTAAAACCAGGCCCGCTCTTCCCAGCGACTATCGAGGCACCTGCAACATGGGAACCTTCAAAGCCCAGCCTGGGAGCAGCTGATTCGAATCCTCCCACGGACTTCGAGCCTGGGCATGTGACCTAACCTCTCCGAGCCTCAGTGTGCCCCTCAACAAAACGAGGAAATGAAGCCTAAAACAAATCACGTCAAAATAGCAGGGGTTCCAATGGGGGCAGCGCTTAATAAATTTTCCCTGTGGTTATTTGGGGGGGTACCCCAAGTGAGTGAGATCGCAACAAAAGACGTGATGGGTTCCAGTCCCACCCGAGCCTCCCAAACCGATCCAGGAGAGTCACTCACCTCCCACGAGCCTCTTCTGTCACCCCGCGGCGCAAGCGCGGGTCCCCCAAAACTTGGGAGCCCAATTCACAAACTTTTCTCCTCCAATGGATATAGCTGGGATCTAGCTACAGACTCGACCCCCAGCACTCTGGCTTCTTTGGCCGGGACAGAGAGCAACTTGATACGCAACCGCTACCCCCACCCCAGCGCTCCCCCACTGCGCCTGCGCACCCCCGCCCCTCAAAAGTAGGAAAGGACTCCTGCAGCGGCAACTGCTTCTGGCCCTTTAAGGCATGGGGAGGGGCGGGGCTTCCGCTGGGAGCTAATTATCGCAGCTGCGCCTGCGCGTTACTTCCTCTCTGCCGGCGGTGGATGGGGAAGGGTGGGCGGGACCTGCGCCCTCCGAGGGCTCCATTGCGCCTGCGGCCCCTTCAACCCCAGCTCCGCCCTCAGGTTTTTGCAGAGGGAACCAATTGGCTCCGATGATGCGCGGGCGGGCGGAGCTTTCCCCGGGCCGGGTGCGGAGGAAAGTAGAAGAGGGGTGCGGATTTCTCAGGGGCGGCGTAGGCGTGACGCCCGGTCCCCAACAATGTCCTTTCTGGGGTTCCAGAGCCTCGCGAGCATGTGCAGGCACTCGCTGGCCGCAGAGGGGCCTGAGAGCGCGTGTGGGGTGGTCGGGGACGGCGCGCAGCGGCGCAGCGCCTGCCTGGCAAGCGCGAGGTCCCCAGTTCGATTCCCGGTACCCCGCAAAACAAAAACAAAAACAACGTGTACAGAGCCCGAACGGGCAGCGACAGCTTCCCTGAACACCTCCGCACTCGGAAAAGGGGGCGGGGCGGGGCCGGCGCCCTCCCCTCCCCGCCTGGGCCTCCTCCCGGTCCCCGCGCGTCTCCTCGCCGCGCCCCGGCCCGCTTTACCCGCCCGCCGGCCTTCCTCGCTGCCGGCGCCTCTCGGGTCCCGCGGGTAGGGGGACAGGGAGGACGGGCCAGTTGGCTCCGGAACTGGAGCCGTGCGCGCTCGGGTTTCGGCGGGGAAAGCTTAGGCGCGGGGCCCAGCCCGGAGACTTCCGGTTCCTCCTGGGTGCCGGGCCGCGGTCGCCATGGAGGAACCCGAGATGCAGCTCAAGGGGAAGAAAGGTGGCGGGGCCCGGCGGGGAGGCGGGCCGGGCGGGAGCGCGCGGGACGGTGTCGGAGCCCTAGCCCCCCCCCGAGCACCCCGAAACCCTTCGTGCCTCCGAGCTCCGGGCCGTCGTCGGTGCAGTGGAGAGGGTGGCATTTCCGGCGGCCTGCGGGAGCGTTTCCTTTGTTTATGTTTCTGTGTTTATTCGTGCGAGCAGCGGCGATCGGGGTTTCCGTGCGGGCTCGGGGCGTGGGCAGAGCGCACCCCAGCGTTTACTCTGCTCCTCGCGCCGGCGCCCGGTCCCCTTCCCATTTGCAAAGGATGTCTCCCTGTTTCCCACTGTCTTTTGGTTTTTGGATTATTTATACATGGGGTTTCTCGTATAAGATAAGTGACGCGGCGGTTAAGCCCGTGTGCCCGACTTCACTTAACATTATGGGTCCAAGTATTTTTAAATCACATATTTGCATTGTTTTATTTCCCATGATATTTCTAATTATTTGGGACGAGTACATTTCATTTCCTCTCATTAAAAAAATTCCTTTTTTTTTTTTGGTGTTAATGGGCTTGAGTCCTTTGCCCCGAGCTACATCCCCAGCCCTTTTTATTTTAAGACAGGCTCTTGCTGAAAAGCCCACGCAGGACTGGAATTCTCAGCCCTTCTGCCTCAGCCTCCCAGAGTGCTGGGATGACAGGTGTGCACCAGCAAGCCAGAGTGTAGAGTTCCGATTTTACAGATGAGGAAGCCGAGGCTCAGAGAAACTCCTCCTTGTCAATCCAAACTTTTTCCTGTGAACTTGGGAATGATAAGTTGTAATAGGCACAAGAGAGCTATGTAAGGGGACTGAGATCCTGAGTGGAGAGGAGGGACATCTGGGTAACTTGGTACAGGAAGAGCCTTGGCCAGGAGGTGACATTTGAACCGCGACGGATGAAACGCAGCCAGTGTGGAGGGGGTCGCTGCGCAGGCGCCAAGGCCCTGGGGTGGCCATGTGTTCAGAGCTGTACGGTATTAGAGTAGCTGTTGATCACATATGGGTGATTAAATTGGACTTAATTAAAATGAGACAAAATTGGAAGTTGAGTTCTTCAGCCACGCGTCTTAGGGGTGCAAGCCAGCGGCTTTCTCCTGAGTTACATCCCCATCCTTTTTCGTTTTTATTTTGAGATAGGCTCTAGTTGTCCAGGCTGCCCTGAAACTCATGACCCTCCTGCCTCAGCTTCCTGAGTAGCTGGGAATACAGGCGTGTGCCGCTATGGCTGGCAAGGAAGGATGAGTTTATTTGCTGGTTGGTGGGAACCATGGGAGAGCTGTTTGGTTGTTTTTTTTCTGGTACTGCAGATGGCAATCGAGAAAAGAGTGAGCGAGCTGTGCATTGGCCGGAAAACGTGGTACTGCAGATGGAACCCAGGGTCTTTGCACCGTGCTACACCCCAGCTCCTTTTTTAAATTTTTTTTTTTTATTTTTTTGTCTTTTTAGAGGCAGGGTCTCTTTGGTTTTTTTGATTTTTTTTTTTTTTTTTTTTTGCGTTTTTGAGACAGGGTCTCACTATGCTGTTCAGGCTGGCCTTGAGCTCACTATGTAGCCCAGGCTGGTCTTGAACTTGCAGTGATCCTCCTGCCTCAGCCTCCCGAGTGCTGGGATTACAGGCGTGCACCACCACTCTCGGCTGTTTTCATTATTACTTGTCTTGAGACAGGATCTCACTATGTAGTTCAGGCTGGCCTTGGACTCACTGTGTATCCCACGCTGGCCTCAAACTCATGGCGATCCTTCTGCCTCAGCCTCCCACAGAGCTAGGATTACTGGCATGCAGCAATGCACCTGGCTTCCTTGGAGGGTTTAATCAAGGAAGGCTGGTGGAGGTGCGTCCCTTTGCAGTTAGGGTTAGGCAGGAGGAGCTGCATCTGGCATAGGTCAGGGATGCCAGGTCTGGGCCGGAGGTTGCTGGTACACTGAGATTTGGGCGTCGTTTTGAGGTGGCACCAGCAGGATTTGCTCGGTGGGCCAGGAAGGGAAGGAAGAGCCGGCCAGCGGCGCTTCGGCAGCGTCAGCTTTGTGGCGAGGACTGGTGCAGGAGCAGCGTGGGAGGGAGGGCGAGTGATGGAAAACCCGCAGGGCAGCTGGGCCTGTCCCTGCCGGGAACCCCAAGGAAACGACAGCCTGCGGCCATGCGGGACACAGTTCTCACCCCACAGTGGTGGTCCGGCCAGGGCTGTGAACACTTCGGGGTCCCCTGGACGTTCTCCGAGGGGGTCTGTGTATCCTGGGGTGAAGGGAATTTGAGGGGCTCTTAGCAGCAGTGTCCACTCCTGGTGGCTTTGGGAGGGGACAGATCACGAGTTCACAGTTTGTGCTGAATCCCCTCTCAAGCGGCCCCTCCATGACCCCCTCCCGCCTGCCCAGCTGCTGGTGGCAGCCCCGGGAGGCGCTGATGCCCTCCCCCCCCCCCCCGCTGGGCTCTCGCGTGGGTGATTAGAGTCTGACGCTCTGCCCTCTTGTCTCCGCCCACTCCCTGCGGCCTGGGGACCCAGTGACGGACAAGTTCACCGAGAGCGTCTATGTCCTGGCCAACGAGCCCTCCGTGGCGCTGTACCGGCTGCAGGAGCACGTGCGCCGCTCCCTGCCCGAGCTGGCCCAGCACAAGGTGAGCCCAGGTCTTGCCCCCCAGACGCCCCTCCCGCCAGGGTGTCCTGCGCCCAGGACCCACCTCTGTCAAGAAGGAGATGGGGTGAAGACCCCAGGGGAAGGCGCGCCAAGCAGGGGAGCAGCCCACACAGGGCCGTAAGGTGTGGGCCCGTTTGCAACACCCTCTGAGGGGGCTGCAGGAGGGCAGGCGTGGGGGTAGGGCCCTGCCGGGAGCAGCGCCGCGGATCCCTTTCCACTCACGGTGGACACGCCTGACCCCGCAGGCCGACATGCAGCGCTGGGAGGAGCAGAGCCAGGGCGCCGTCTACACCGTGGAGTACGCCTGCAGGTACCTGCCCCGGGGCTGCTGTGGCGCCCGAGCCCGCGCCCGCCCCCATGGCACCCTAGTGGAGCTGTGGGGCTGCTCCGTGCCTCACACGTGGGCCCAGCCCTGCTGTCCCCAGCCAAGGCCCAGGGGTGACGGGTCGGCACCTGCTGCCTGTCAGCGGCCCACTTTGCCTTCAGAAAGGGAGCTGTTAGCCAGGCAGAGGTGCGCAGCCACCCTTTGGGTTACAGGGCTGGGGTGCTGAGGCAGGAGGATTACAGTTTCCGTGCCAGCCTGGGCACATTTAGAGAGACCCCGTCTCAGAGGTTAAAGACGTGTGTGTTAAGGGCCAGGGTGCCGCTCAGTGCTAGAGCACGCTGGGCAGTGCCCAGTGGCGGGAGGCATGTGCAGTGCCCGGACAGCCGCGCAGTGAGGTCACGCCGAGGCCGTGAGCGCCGCGCACCATCGGCTGTGCTCCCGGGAGCCCTTGCCGAGGCCGAGGCAGTCCCTGCGCGACCTCCCCCAGCCCTGGCGGGGGCCCCGGCCAGCTTGGGCACTGATGAGTGCTTCCCGCAGCGCCGTGAAGAACCTGGTGGACAGCAGCGTCTACTTCCACAGCGTCGAGGGGCTGCTCAAGCAGGCCATCAACATCCGAGACCACATGAACGCTGCCTCCCAGGGCCACAGGTAGCACCGGCGCCGCCCGCCCGGCCAGCTCCACGGCGTCCCGCCCCGGAGACCTCGCCTTCCTCGTCACAGGGCGGCTGGTGGCTTCCGCCTGTCCTTTGGCATCGGCGCTGCGCAGAGCCCAAGTCCTGCCGTGTGCCAGCTTCAGAGCTGGGGCCACAGCGGTGACCAGGACAGGAAGGTACACGGGGACGCAGCAGCCGAGGGACCCGGAGCACTCCAGCCTGGCTGCCAGGGAGCAGGGGACACCCGAACACCAGCGGCGTGGCCTGGCCGACACACACGTGACCGCGTCGTGCTGGGGCAGCGCAGGTGCAGAGGCCACAGCACGGGCGTGGGGGCGACGCAGCCGGGCGAGTGCCTGCGGAGAGCCGGGGTCGGGGAGGGGGTGGGGCCCTGCGCGGAGATGCCGGAGCCCAGGCCCACAGCCTTTGCTGTCTTCGTTATAACTTTATTTTGGGTTTTTCGAGACCCAGTCTTGCAGTGTAGTTCAGGCTGGTCTTGAGCTCACGGCAATCCTCCTGCCTCAGCTTCCCGAGTGCTGGAATGACAGACGTGTACCACCACACCCACCCTCATTATCATTAAATAAATGCACATCTGAGCACACACAGGCTGTGCGTCACTGCTGGACTCTCGCCCTGGGAAGCTGTGCCCACAGCACAGAGCGTGGCATCAGCGTTTAGGAAGGAGACCTGTGTGGTAAGGCTGGCAGCCAGTGTAGCTGCAGGCACAGCAGTGGGGGTTGCCCTCCCTCCCTTTCAGGCAGCAGGGGGCTCTGGGTGGCTCTGGCTGATCGGTTTGCTCAAAAGCAGCTCCTGGTTTCCAAGGTGCTTCCCGGCACCTTGCTTCCGCCTGCCAGGACTCCCTGCTTGGGGTCCGGCCCCCTTTTATTTAATTCACTTTGTAGCCTGGTCTGGTCTCCAGGTGATGCTCCTGCCTCAGCCTCCTCGTTGCTAGGATTACAGGTGTGCATCACTACACCTGGCCCTCCCAAACCCTATTTTTACAGATGTTCTGAAGGCTTAGAGTGGGGCCCTGAGGGGCCCAGGATGTGATCCAGACCCACACCCTGCCCCACAGAGCAGCCCCCTGGCCTCTGACCGGGTCCTCAGGACTCTGTTGTGTTCCAGCCCTGAGGACCTGCCCCTGGCCCACTCTCCTCAGCCTGAGCGGGGAAAAGACGCCGGCTCCCTGGCTGCTTGCCGCCCGGTGGTGGCTGGGCTGTCGACACCGTGCGCGGTTGGTGAGGGGCTTGCCTGGCTCCCAGCCCTGCCCTGTGTCGCCAGAGAGGAAACAGGCTCACGGACACCGGGGACCCACGCCCCGGCACCCGGCCCCAGCCGCACGCCAGCCACCAGCCCGCTCCGCTGCGCTCCTCCCGCCTCCCTCACGTCCGTGGCCAGGGTCGTCCTGGGTGTGGACGTGTGTCCTGGGTTCTTCCCTCCCACCCCACTGGGTCCCTCAGTCCCTCGGACCAGCAGCTGCCTCCACCGTGGTCCTGATCGCCCTCAGCACATGCCCAGCCCAGGCTGGCCGCCGCCACCGCCAGCCCTCGGCCGCCTCAGCCCAGCTTGGCCCCCAGTGCGGACGGGAATACACTGCCTCGGCGCAGACCGACCCGCCGGGCCTGGCCCAGCCTGCAGTGTGGGCCTGGTGCTCTCCCTCTCTGGACTCCTGCAGGGGGTGCAGGGCACTGGCACCTCTGTCTGGCCTGTGTCCTGCCTGGCGGACGCCCAGTGCAGGGCAAGGCCGCCTCCTTGCCCCAGGGGCGGGCATGGGTCCTGGTCTGGCCAGTCAGAGCCCCCCCACCTCCTGGGTCACGACGATTGGCTGGTCGCGGTGGGCGGGCTGGGGGAGTCAGCGGTTGAGTGTGGGCCTGGAGTGCACAAGGCCCAGGTTCCCCCGGGCTCTGCGAGAAACAGGTGTGAACCCGCGTGGGCGGGGGAGAGGGCTGCTTGGGGGCCTTCTGGTGGTCCCAGGAGGGCGCCTGGGACGCTGCGCAGCGCCCTGGACACAGCTTTACCTGGTGCTGCCCAGCTCAAAACCCCTGCCTCCCAACACCTTCGAAGTTACCCTTTTTTTTTTCTTTTTTGTCCTTTGGAGACAGGGTCTCGCTATGCAGTTCAGGCTGGCCTCGAACTCGAAACGATCCTCCTGCTTCAGCAGAAGGGGTCAAGGTCTCCATCACCTGGGCAACCTCTCCCTGCTGTCCCGGGGGGTGCGGCGTGGAGGACCACTGTGCGGCCCTGTTGCCTCCACAGTTTTCATCTGTTTGGAACACGGTCTCGCTATGCGGCTGAGGCTGGCCTTGAGCTCACTCTGTAGCCCAGACGGGTCTTGAGCTCTTAGAAACCCACCTGCCTCAGCTTCCCAAGTGCTGAGACTATAAGAGTTCGCCACCATACCCGGCTGCCTCTCCACTGCTCAGGCTCATGGGGCGGGGAGCCATAGGTCCACCCGATTCGGGGCCCCGACTGGTGTGGGGCCTCACAGTCACTGTCCCTGTCCCCTCCAGTCTGAAGGCACCCGTCGTGATCCTTGCCCATGCGTCTGTCCTCTGTCTCCCTTCTGTGACACAGCGTGGGACACACCAGCCTGCGCCCCGGACTCAGGCGGCTGAGATTACAGCTGTGACTTACCGGGGGCAATCCTGGGTGCCTGAGCCCCACCCCCGGCTCCATGTCATCTGCAACTCCTGGCTGGGGCCTCAGCCAGCAGCTAATCGTCCTCTCCTTCGAAAAGGGGCCCGAGCGGGACTCCTGGGTGTCACACACCCCATCACCTAGTGTGGGAGGGAGCTGAGAGGTCCCTGCTGATTTGCATCTTATTTGCAAGTCTGATTCACCCTGCCGGCTTGGAGGACGCCCCGCTTCTGCCCACCGCCAGGGGGCGCGCGAGGCAAGGCCTTGGCCGGAGCCGGGTTTAAACGGGATCGTCACGGACCCCCGCGCTGGTGGGGGCCTTCGCCCTGCGCCCGCTTCTGTACCCTGGATCCCGCTTCGCGGGGAATCGCACTTCCAAGGGACTGCACTACGCCGCAGGAGCTCTCGTCCGCTCCCGCACCGTGGGGAACGAGGCCAGAGGCGGCAGGGGCCCTGCGCCGCGGGGCTTCGAGCTCGAGCTGGCGCCCGCCGGGCCAGGACTGGCCGGAAGTGATGGGGGCGGGGGGCCCTTCCAGGCTCCCCGAGGTCTGAGGCTGGGCTGAAAGCAGACCGGAGCGGCGGTGACGTGCCTGGTCGGCCTGTGGAGGTCAGGGTGACGATCAGCCCCGAGCTCCTGGTCCAAGTCCTGGTTCTTATTTCAGGCCTGCTCCTGGCCCCGCGGTGCCCCCCAGCAAGTCTCTGCGTACCCCACACTGGTGCCCACCCCCTCCACCACGTAGACCTTCTTGGGGCTCGGCGGCTTCTCAGGAGACCCACGGAGATGCTCCTTGGGCCACCACCCACGGGCCCCGCCCAGAGGGATCGTTGTGCGACAGACGCACACCCCAACTCCCTAGGTCACTCCGGGCTGGACGAAGGGCCGCGGCTGGAGGGGCCCAAGCAGAACCGGGACGAAGGGGGCGTGGGAGCTGAGCGGCCGCACGGGCACTGGCGGCCGGGCCGGGGTCAGGACGCCTTCCCGCCACGCCCCGCAGCTCCCAGAGCTGCTCCAGCTGCCGCCCTCACGTAACCAGAGCCTGCCTGTTGCATCAGAGGCGTCGGGGCGGCCGCGGGTAAACAGAGCGGCCCTGGGGGGCCCGGGGCTCCCCAGCCGCCTGCGCGCTCCGAGCCTCCGCCCGCACCTGGGAGCCGAGGCAGAAGCCCCTGGCCTGGCCCTGGGCCGGGCGAGGTCTCGGGACCCCCGAGGGTGTGGCCTTGAGCAGAGGGGGGCGGGGACCCACTAGGATGCCAGCGGGAGCCCTGCTTTTGATGTCCGAAGAGAAAGTCGTGCGGATTCTCGGCCTTTCGGCTAAGCTCAAGTGGGAAAGTTGTAGAAGGGTGTGGTGTCACACTTCTGTCATCCAGCCGTCAAAGGCTTCGAGTTGGAGGCCAGCCTGGGCTACAAAGTGAGTTCAAGACCAGCCTGAACTGCCCAGTGAGACCCTGTCTCAAACAAAGTTTGTAACTAGACTTAATGATCCAAACTACCCATGCCACAGACCAGCAAACCGAGCGCGGGAGAGGTATGCGTCCGCCCAGCACTGCTTCCTGCCTCCGTGTCCCACACTGCGGTCTTCCACATGCTTCTCTCTGAGCCCAGGTGTCTGCTTGCTGTCCCCTGGGGAGACAGACACCAGACAGCCAGAGGACCCCCTACCCAAATCTGATTCCTCCTCTCCCGCTCGGCTCCTGCCCTGCCTGGGCCCGGCCCACAGCTCCACTCCATCTCCTCTATTTCTCCGCTACCCTGCCAGTGAGTGCTCTGTGCTCTTCTTTGTGGGAGCAGTCCTCTCTTGAAAAACCCTTCTCTCAGTGGCAAACTCTTACTCATACTTGAAAGCCCAGCCCAAATGCCCCATCCTCTGGGATCCCCTCCCTGCCTCCCTCGGCACAGCCCTTGACCTCAATTTTGGTCGGCCCCAGCCTCATCTCTCCCTCTGGGTCAGCCCACACTTGCCAAGCCAAGGCTGGCCCCAAAACTGTGATCCTCCTGTCTCAGCCTCCCGAATGCTAAGATTACAGGTGTGCACCACCATGTCCGGCTACATCTGACCTTGGAAGAGAGCCAAGAATGATGACTTTCGGACTATGGGGAGGAGGGGGTGTCGCAGGACCAGCGCGAGTCCGGCACCCCCTGCGGAGGTCACACAGGTGACCCCGGAGCCCTTTCTGCAGCCCCTCCGCTCTGTGAGCTCGAGTCCTCTGCCTGCCAGGAGGGCCGGGTCACTGTGCGACAGGACCGGGGACCTCAGTGACCTTTTCCTTCAGGACGTTAGGAGTGCGGTAATGATCGGTTCGGGACGAAGCCTAATTTAAGGCCGGGCGGAGGCGTCGGTGAGGGCTGGTTTCCTGCAGCCCCCCTGCCCTTGCCTTGTTTTGTTTTGCGGGGCTGGGACGGAACCCGGCCTCGCACGTGCGCTCACCTCTGAGCGGCGCCGGGCTCCCCCGCGGGCGATCGCCTGTCCTTCCGCCTCCGCGCCCGGGGCGGGGCCGCGCCCCAGTGCCCGCCTATCGCAGCCCGCGCCACGCCCTCTATGTAAATGAGCAGGGCGCCGCTGGAAGCCACCTGCGGCCGCGGGCTCGCGAGCTCAGAGCGCCGGTGGCCGAGGTGCGTGTTCCGCGCGGGTCCCAGGCCGAGCAGGTGCGTGTCGCGTGGTCGGGACGGGGAGCGGGAGCGGGACTCCGTGGGGCTGTCCGGGCGCTGCTGCGCGCCGGGTTGGGTTTGCGGGGCAGGTGTGCTCTGAGCTCGCCAGGGCTCCGTGCGGAAGGGTGTGCGTGGGAGGGATGCGACCCGGAGGTCGCGCTGGGCTTGTGCGAGAAGTCCCTGGCGTCTCACCCGAGTTGCGGTGGAGGATTCGGGCGTGCACCCCTGAGGCGTGAGCCGGGTCCGCGGTGCACACCCCCGCGCCTTCCTACAGGAACGTGGCAGGAGGCCACCCCCGCCCCTGGCCTCAGGGTCCCTGTCGGACGGTGGCGTGGGGAGGGTCACAGCCCCTGGGACTGTGCCAGCATGACCTGGTGGCAGCATCACTTTCACAGGCGTGGTCTCCACGCCCCGCCACACTGTCGGGCCGGCAGAGGCTGTGACCCAGCTCCGTGCTGGCCCTCGCCGCAGACCAGTCAGAAGTAGCTGAGGCCTCCCCCTTCCTGGGCTGAAAAGCGTCACTGGGAAGGTCAGGACCTGTGGACCCTTGGCTTTTGGGGACGAGCACATTCAGAGGCCTGGAGTGAACGGGCGTAGGGTTCAAAAAAGCTTTCTGTGGTGGGCATGCATGTTAGCCAGCACTCTGGGAGGCTGAGGCAGGATGATCCGAAGTTCAAGCCTAGCCCAGGCCATTTAGCAATCTAGCGAGATGATCTTTCAATGTAAAAATATTAGCCAGGCGTGGTGGTGCACACCTGTAATCCCAGCATTCGGGAGGTTGAGGCAGGAGGATTGCCGAAAGTTCAAGGCCAGCCTGGGCTATATAGTTAGTTCAGGGGCAGCCTGAACTGTACAGCAAGACCCTGTCTCAAAAAAACAAAAAGAAAAAATAAAATACTTTAAAAGGACTGGGAATGTAACAGTGTGAAGGCCACAAGTTCAATCCCCAGGATCAAAACAAAAAGCACTGGAATATTCAGGAGGCTGAGGCAGGAAGATCATGAGTTCAAAGGCAGCCTGGACCCCATGGGAGACCCGCTGTTGAAAAAACCCCACACCACACAAGGCTTTGGCCGGAGACTGAGACCCCGGCAGTACTGGGGAAATGTGTTTAGTTTTCAAAGCAACAGTGTTTGCGGGCTGAGTCCAGAGGTCCAAGGTGCTTCCTGAAAGGCCGGGAGCCGCCTCGTCCCGTGCCGTCACCTGCCACCTGTCCAAAGTGACCAGCGGACCCTGGCTTGCAAAACGTGGGGATCTTTGGGGGTGGGACGTTCTCACTTTGAGATCTTCGAGCTGCTTCTCAGGAGGCGGGCGGAGTGAGGCTGGGTAGGGCAGCCGGCCGGAGAAAGGGCCGCTCGGGCGGGCCATCGTGCAGAGCGACAGAGGCGGGCGGCGGCGCCCTGACCCGCGGTCCCCTCTGCGTGTCCCGGGCCACGGCGTGACCGAGGGAGCCGGCCTGACCCGGGCTCCGCGTCTTCATTAGTGATTTTCTTGCTGAAATCATGACCCACCCAGTAGGCATCTGGAAACGGAGTAAGAGAAGAAAAACTCAGTCATTGTCACCCGGCTTGCGGACGATGTGTGTAGACATTCGGGGGTCCCCTCTTTCGGAAGATTTGGGGCACACTCGCTCCTGCGGGCAGATGTCCTTGTCCTGAGACAGTTTAGAGTACGAGGGCCTCTCTGGGGTCCGGGAGTTCGCCCAGCCCAGCCCAGGTGCTATGGGGTACATAGGGAAGTCGGGCTCCATTTTTTGGCCCCCCAAAAAGGCCTCCCTGGGCCTGAGTCCAGGGACCTGTGTGCCTCTGTGACACCCCAGGCTCAGGAGGAGTGGCCTGGGCCCCCCTGCAGTGTTCCCACCCATTTCATAGACTCGCAGGCGTGGTGAGACTGGGGTGCAGCAGGACAGTGTGGGGTGCACCAGGCTGGTGTGGGGCCAGGGGTCCTGCCATGTGGCCCTGGGAAAAAGCACATCTCCTCCAGAGTAAAAAAAGGAAAACTAGCCAGGCGTGGTGGCACACCCCTGTAATCCCAGCACTCGGGAGGCTGAGGCAGGAGGATCATTCGGATTTGAGACCAGCCTGGGCTACAAAGTGAGCTCAAGGCCAGCCTAAACTGCATAGCGAGACCCTGTCTCAAAAAGACAAAAAAAAAAAAAAAAGGGACAACTGCCCAGGTATGGTAGTGCACACCTATAAGCCCAGCGCTTGGGAGACTGAGGCAGGAAGATCACAAGTTCTAATCCAGCCCAAGCAGCTTCAGCAAGACCCTGCCTCAAAAAATAAAAAAGTTAAAAGGCCTGGGGATGCAGCTAGTGTGAAGGCCCTGGGTTCGATCCTCAGTACCACCAAAAAAAAAAAAGAAGGGACACCTGTCTCCACTCCACTTGGCTGTCCATGGGTGAGCTGGTCCTGGGTGTGAAAGAGGCCACTCGTGGGCCTGGTATCACCCAAACGGTGACCACACAGGGGGACCCGGCCGGCCTCTTCTATCCTAAATTCTCAAGGCCAAGGTGAGACGGGGCAGGGGTGGGGCAGGGTCCCCACTCTGCTGTTGGGACACATTGCTACCCCAGGGCCTTTGCATCCTCTGCGCTGTGGCCCAGGCAGCAAAAGGCATCCCCGGGGCCCTGTGCTAAGAGTCTGCCTCCCCATCGCTGGCCTCAGCCTCCCATCTGGATTTCTCCTTGCAGGACCCTGCCCCTGCCCCTGTACCCCCATATTTCCAGGGTGCATCATGGGACCAAGGCTGGCCCAGGCCTCGTGGCCAGCTTGTGGCGGAGCGTCCCCTTCCGCTCCACGCTGACAGCTGTGTTAATTTCCCAAGCAGGGAGGCCCTGGGCTCTGGGGACGAATTTCCAGGGCCCCACAGGGAGCTTGCTCTCTGGAACAAAGACGGAAATCTCGGGCCATCCCTGTCCCTGCAGCTGCCACAGAGGCTCAGGGGACCTCGCCAGGGGCCTTAGGTGGCCTGGAGCCCGACCAGCTCAGGACAGCAGGGCAGCCCAGCGCATGCGGCCGCTGGCATAGGCAGCGGGTCACAGAGCCTGGCGAGGTGACAGGCCAGGTGCGGGGCCGCACTCCCTGCCGGCCCCAAGGGTTCAGACCTGGGGTCTCACACCTGGGCCGCAGGCCAGGCGAGGATGTAGGCTGGTTTTGAGGGCCCTGAGGGTTTGGGGTTTGTTTCTGAATCAGTGCGGGGATGGAACCCACAGCCTCACACAGCCAGGCAGGTGCTCACCACCCAGTCACCCTTTTGATGTTCAGGTGAGGTCTCTAAGCTGGCCCTGGAGTCATATGCTCCTGCCTCAGCCTTCCAGAATGTGGAGGTGACAGGTGTGCACCACCATGGCTCATGGAGTGTTTAAAAATCTGCGGGCTGCCTGGTGTGGTGGCACATGCCTGTCATCCCAGCACTCGGGAGGCTGAGGCAGGAGGATCACCTCGAGTTTGAGGCCAGACCCTGTCTTAAGAAAACTGAAAAACAAAACAAAACAAAAAAAATACATCTGTGGGCTGAGGGGTACTCCGGGATAGAGGAGCTGCCTGGCTTGGGGGAGCCCTGCATTCTGTCCCCAGTGCTTGTTAAGAAGGAGGGAAGGGAGAGAGGGAGCGGAAAGGGCAGCCCAGGGAAGCTGCTTGTATGTGTTCTGCATGCCAAATCCCTGGGAAGGGTGACTGGGACCTGCGCACGCCAGGGCCTCCCAGGATGGCAGGTCCGGCTGTGGCCAGATGCTGACAGATAAAGCAACAGAGGAGCACGGAGTGCAGGGGTACGTGCAGGCCTGGGGGCAGTCGGCATGCCTAGCAGGAGGCTATGGGAGGCTGAGGCAGGAGGGCTGCAGGTATGAGCCTAGCCTGGGCAATTTAGCAACTTAATGATCCCCTGTCTCTGAATGAAAAAAGCAAATAAATAAAAAAAATGCAAAGGGGGCTGAGGATGTAGCTCAGTATCGCAAAGCCTGTCTCTAAAGCAAGAGGCCCCAAGTTCATTTCCTGGTACTAGCTGGGTGTGGTGGCGCATGCCTGTAATCCCAGCACTTGAGAGGCTGAGGCAGGAGTATCATTGCAAATTCGAAGCCAGCCTGGGCTACAAAGTGAGTTCAAGACAGCCTGAACTGCATAGTGAGACCTTGTCTCAAAAAAAAAAAAGAAAAGAAAAGAAAAAACAAAACTATTCCTGGTACCAAAATTAAATAAATAAAATAAAATAAAAAGGGCTGGGGATGTAGTTCAGTGCAAAGGCCCTGGGTCCAATCCCCAGTACCACAAACAAACAAAAAAGAGCGAGAGAGAGAATTAGTTAATTAAATAGTGTGGGGTGAAGGTGGGTACAGCTAGGGGCAGAGTGCTCGCTGAGCGGGCCCAAGGCCCTGAGTCCCATCCCCAGCACTACAAAACAGTGTTTTTTTAATTTTTGAGACAAGGTCTCACTGTGTAACTCGGGGCAATCGTCCTGCCTCAGCTTCCTGAGTGCTGAGGTTATAGGTGTGTGCCACCATGTCCAGCTCAGCAAAAATAAATTTTGTTTTGTCTTTTGAGACAGGGTCTCGCTATGCAGTTCAGGTTGCCCTTGAACTCACTACGTAGCCCAGGCTGATTTTGAACTCACAGTGATCCTCCTGCCTCAGCCTCCAGAGTGCTGGCAGCACAGTACTGTACCACCATGCCTACTTTAACAAAAATAGATTTTAAAAATGCTGGGACTAGAGGCCCCTACCGTCCCAGCTGGGGCTCCTGGGGCACAGACAAAGGGGTCCCTGGGGCCTGTCCTTCTCACCGAGATTCCCATCCTTTCAGGAGGATTGGGCTGGGGGAGGAGCCTCAGTTTCCCCAGAGATTCCAGAGGGACCCGTGCACGAGGAACCCCTGGCCGGATTCAGACACCTGCTCCTCAGGCTTCCTGGTGCCCTGCACGCCATGCCCTGCACTGCCGCCCGCCTGAGTGGAAAGGGAGCCAAAGCCCAGTATGATGGCTCAAGCTCATCATCCCGCACTCCAGAGGCTGAGGCAGGAGGATTGCTTCTAGTTCAAAGCCAGCCTGAACTGCATAGTGAGACTCCATCTAAAAATAAATAAATAGGGGGCTGGGGATTTAGCTCAGCTGCAAAGCGCCTGCCTGGCAAGCGCAAGGTCGCGAGTTCGGTTCCCGGTACCGGAGAAAAACCATAAAAATAAATAAGTAGAGTAGAATACAAAACAAAGCTCATCATTCCAGCACTCAGGAGGCTGAGGCAGGAGGATCTCAAATTGGAGTCCAATTTAGGCAATTTTTCAAGACCCTGGCTCACAATAAAAGATAAAAAAAGGCCGGGGCTGTAGCTGGGTACCAAGGCCCTGGCTTCCATCCCCAGCACAATCATACAGGCCAGTAGCATGAAATCAGTGAGAGTCGGGCAGCCCTCCAAAGGACGTGGGGACCCCAGTGTCAGAGGCTGTGCCCGTCCTGGGGCAGCGCGGGGCTCGGGAGTCTGCACGGGCGGGCTCCGCGGCCCGGGGCTGGGAGCGCTTGGGGTTCCGGTGTGGGCTGGGGGGTTCAGGGCTGTGTACGCAGTGGGATCCGCTTGGGTTTGGGGTTTGCGTTTGGAGACCTGTGTGGGTTTGGGGCGCTCTGCTCGACCACTGAGCTGCACTCCCAGCCTTTCCTAGCTTTTACTGGGAGGCAGGGTATCCCTAAGTTGTCGGGCTGGGCTCTAATTTGCCATCCTCCTGCCTCAGCCTCCGAGTCCTGGGATCCAGGCGTGGGCGACCGCACCCAGACTGATGAGCCCCATTTTCGGGGGGCGGGCTGGGCTGCTCTGAGCCCCCACCGTGGTGACCGCAGGCCGCGCCGGGAACAGGGGGCTCGCGCCTTCAGGGGGCGCTTCCTGCCACCGCCTAATGAGGTACTTGGGGAGCGGGTGATGAAACCGTGCGCCGCGTTGCGTGAGGCCGGGCCGCGCCGCCCCCTCCCCCGGCGTCCCCCGGGCCGCCCGCGCCTCCCACCGCCTCTCACTTCTGCTTTCCGCGGCCCGCTCCGCACCGCCCCGCAGCCGCCACGGGGAGCCGGCCCGCCCAGGGTGTCCCCAGGTCCCCTGAGGTGGCTCGCTCACTCCGTGCCGTCCCGGAAAGGATGGGGACAAGGGCAAGAGACGCCTGCTCCTCAGCCAGGTGGAGGCCGGTGGGACACAGGCGCTTACACTGGCTGAGGAGCCTCGCTGGGTGTTTGTTGACTGACTCAAGGGGCACGGTTGAGGCTCATCCTGCCCTTTGTCACCAGATGACCAGTTTCTTCCTGCCGGGACAGACGCTGGCGTCCTTGGCAGCCTGAGCACACGAAGCACTCACCGCTGAGCCGCACAGCCAGCCTTAAAACGGCTTCGGGAGCCGGGCGTGGTGGCGCTCACCTGTGATTCCAGCCCTTGGGAGGCTGAGGCAGGATGGTTGCCATGACTTTGAGGCCAGCCTGGGCTACATAGCGAGACCCTGTCTCAAAAAGCTCACCAGCCGGGTGTGGTGGCGCACACCTGTGATTCCAGCACTTGGGAGGCTGAGGCAAGGAGGATCCTTCGAGACCAGCCTGGGCTACAAAGTGAGCACAAAGCCAGCCTGAACTGCATAGGGAGACCCTGTCTCAAAAAAGATTAAAAAAAAAAAAACAAAAAAAAACCCAAAAAACAAAAAATGTCCATCAATCTTTGGTGAAGAGAAATCACGCTAAGAAAAACGCACACGGGACTGGAGGAGGGCACGACCACCTGGCCTGACCTGGACGCCCTGTCCTCAAGCCTGGCTTGGGAGAGCTCGTCCCCACCCCAGGGTCTTGCTCTCCTCAGTGGGCCCTGACGCCCTCCACCTTAAGGGAGTTTTTCCACACTGGGGCCTGAGCCCAGGGCCTTTGCACAGAGCTCCATCCCAGCCTTTTTGTCTCTTATTTTGAGGCAAGGTCTGGCTAAACTACCCAGGCTAGGGTGGAACTTGCAACCCTCCTGCCTCAGCCTCCCAGAGTGCTGGGATCACAGGTGTATGCCACTGCACCTGGCTTCCGGTCACTTTTTGACTCTGGCTGTTGGTGTCCTCAACCTCCCTACGTGCTCAGAGCCAGCGGAGGTGGACACGGCCGCTGCTAAGCACAGAGGTACTGGAAAGCGGGCAGCACAGCCCCCACCCTTCCCGCGGCCGGCCTGTTCGGCCTCTCACGGCCCGCGTGGCCCCGGGTGTCTGCTGGCCTCCCTCCTCCTCTGTCCTGGCCGTGGTTGCACCCTGGGGGGCCCGGGCCCCAAACCTCAGCTTCCCCTGTGCCACACACCCCCCCAGGTTCCCAGCACCCACATCTGGGGACGCGGCTGCTGGTGTCTGTGGCCCGGGTGTGATTTGCATGGGGGACAAATATACTCGCACCCGTGCCCACTGCCTCGCGCCCACGGCGCCCTCACACCTGGGCGGCCGGCCCGTGCTGGGCGGCTGCATTTGCATGGTGTATTCTGGGCAGGCTGTCAGCTGGGGTACTAAGAGGAAGTTGTTGAGGGAAGCTGGGGTGGAAGGGGGTCACAGTCACCCCTGAGACAAAGCAGAGTGTGCTCCTCTCCTGCCCCGTGGGGTCAGAACCGAAGCAGGGGCAAGAGGATGGCAGGAAGGGCTTCCTGGAGAAATGGTTTTTTTGAGCTGGGTTTTGAGGTGTGAATAGGAGTTGGCCAGGTAAAGAAGGGCCCAAAGGGCTTTGTAGGGGGAAATATTTGTTGAGTGGAGAGGAGGGTGGGAGGTGAGGTGCAGTGGGAGCTGATGGCAGGCTGGAGGCTGGGACTCTGTCCTGAGGACAGTGGGCGCTGGGACCAGGTGTGGGGTAGAGCTCTTGGGGAGCTGTGGCCGGGCCGTCTTGGGGCAGGAGAGTTGTTCTCACACCCGCTGGGCCTGGCCTTGGGTGGCAGGAATCTCAGGGGTCCAGCGAGGAGTGACCTGGGCTGAGACTGCGGGGCCCAGCCCTGCCTCTGGGCACCTCCAGCGTCCCCACTAAAGTCCCCATCGCCGCACCCCCCGTGATGGCCAGGGCTGGGTGTGAAGATGATAAACATGAGCCTGGGGAGGCTGAGGCAGGAGGATCACACTTTCCAGCCCAACCCAGGTAAGTTAGTGGTGTAGTAAGACCTGTCTCTCAGAATAAATAGGGACGTACGTCACTCAGTGTAAAAACCATTTTAAAAGGTAGATGCCAAATCACATCCCTGTCGTCCCTGCTATTGTTAGGAGGCTGAGGCAGGAGAACTCCTGGGCAACAGAGTAGCCTCATCTCAATAAAATAAGTCAAACCTGATCCTATTCCCACACCAGATGGGCTCACAGCCCTCGACCCCTCCTAGACCCAAACCCAAACCCGCCCTCAGCAAGGCCAGAGCGGGCCCAGGTGTTCCTCCTCCTCCTCCTCGGGGGGCCCTGCACCGCTGTCCCGGCCTGTCTCCTCTCAGGGGCTGTGTGCAGGGAAACCCGGCTTCCAGGCTCAGGCTGTGTGCGGCACCGAGCTGCACCCCCAGCCCTTCTTATTTTATATTTGGTGTCAGGGCCTCGCTGAGTTGCCCAGCCTGACCTTGGAGGTGAGATCCTCCTGCCTCAGCCTCCTGAGTGCTGGGATGACAGGTGAAGGCCACCATGCAGGCCCTGGATGGAGCCCAGGGCCCCGCAAGAGCCAGGCAAACGGTCCCCTCCGAGCCGCAGTCCAGCAGAGGACGCCCAGCCCTCTGCCGCTCTAGGCAAAAGGACAGACAGGAGAAGAGACCCCGGCCCTGAGCTCCGGAGATGATGCCAGGCGTCGGGGGTGTTTCCGGAGTCGTCTTGGCGCAGGACCCTCAGGGGACCTGTGGGGTGGGGACGACACTTCCCAGCCGTGGGAATCGGCTGATTCTGGCCAGGATTAAAATTAGCCAGAGGTTAAATTTAGCAAGGACTCAGCGTCCTGGCCCGGGACCGCGGTGACGGTGAGGCGCAGAAAGCAGCCCCAGTGCGCCCGACGCCGCGCCCCTGCCCAGAGGGTCTGCGTTTCTCTCCCTGCCTTTCCAGATGGGGTCTCAGTACCTTGCTGTGCTGCTCAGACTGTCCTCGGACTCCTGGACTCAGGGGATCCTCCTGCCTCAGCCTCCTGAGTAGCTGGGACCCTAGGTGCCTGCCACTGCGCCTGGCTGGGGTCTAGGTTTTATTATCATTGTATTAATTATTGTTGTGCTGCCGGGGCTGGAGCCCCGGGCCTTCCCACTGAGCTGCACCCCCAGCCCTTTTTATTTTTTGTTTCAAGACAGGGTCTTGCTAAGCTGCTAAGGTGCTCAGGCTGCGTTGGAACTTGGGATCCTCCTGCCCCGGCCTCCTGACTGCCTGGGATCACAGGTGTGCCCAGCTCTGAAGTTCCTGAGAGCTCACTGCCTAGTGACAAGTGCTTGGCAGGGTCTGCGGCCTGCCCGAGAGCTGTGTGACCCGTGGTAAACTGAGGCAGGGGGCGGCTGCCCTGCTGCGGGCCACATGGGCTGAGGGGCTGGTGGGAGTGGAGGGCAGGCTGTGCCACCGAGAGCCCTAGGCCGAGGCCTCTGACACCTGTCCCGCAGCAGCTCACGTGCTCGGCCCCGGGGCTGCCCCTGCGGGCCCAGGGGACCTTGTGTGGCTGGTGTGGCTGGCGGGGCAGTGCTGGCTCGGGCAGGTGACTCCGCTCTCTGTCCCATCCTGCTCTGTTGCCATGTCCCTGGCGGCTGCCGGTCACCCTCCTGCAGCCCCCGACGCAGATCTCCCCAGGGCCCGTGACCTCCAGCCAGGCACGGTGCATGGTGCCCATCTGTGGAGCGCACGGGAGGCCTGGCTTCCACTGCCAGCACCAAAAAAAGTCTTTTAAACAACACCGATCTGTAATCACGGAGGGGGAAAAGTTAGAAAATTCAGATAATTAAAAATGGGAGTGCTGGGGATATAGCTCTTCGGCACAGCGCCTGCCTGGCGAGCGCAAGGTCCTGAGTTCAACTCCTGGTACCAAAAACAACCAACAACAAAGAATATTTTAAAATGGGGCAGCCAGGCGCTATGGAGCACCCCTGTCATCCCAGCACCTGGGAGGCTGAGGCAGGAGGACTGCCTCAAGTTTGAGGCCAGCCTGGGCTACAGGGGAGACCCTGTCTCAGAAAACAATTTCTCCTTTTTCCGTGGACGTGGGCTGCTGCCGATGCTCACAGCGGAGCTCGGATTTCCTCAGCCGCGCCCCTACTCAGGCAGGGAAGCTGAGGCCCACAGGGCGTCCTCCCCGCCCTACCACCACTCGCCTCTGCCTCTGCCTCTGCCCCTGCCCACATCCAGGTGCCCACGCGTGGCCCGGGACGATGGGGAGGAAGAAAATCCAGATCTCCCGCATCCTGGACCAGAGGAACCGGCAGGTGGGTGTGGGCAGCCTCGCCGGCGTGGGCGGAGCCTCGGCGCCCGCCGCAGAGCAAGTGTTGGCTAATTTTCATAATCACTTATTCTGCTCTTATCCCTGAGAACTGGCGCCCCAGTAGACATGCAGCTTCACATCGACGCACCCCGCTTAGAGGCCTGGGCCAGAGGGAGGTCAGAGCTGGGGATGCCCAGAGAGACAGTGTGGGCCCTGCCTGGGAGGCCAAGGAAATCTTCCCGAAGGGGCCCGGTCATTCGGGTTGGGTTTTGAAGGATGAATACGAGTTTGAGAACGAGACACATATGTGCCCCAGAAAAAAACATCACATTCCAAGGCACAGAGTGGAGAAGCACGAGCACGGCGCATCGGGCCGCGGGCTGTGTCCACGCCACTGCACAGCCGCGTCCTGTCTCCCTCCGTCAGGTGACCTTCACGAAGCGGAAGTTCGGGCTGATGAAGAAGGCCTACGAGCTGAGCGTGCTGTGTGACTGCGAGATCGCGCTCATCATCTTCAACGGCGCCAACCGCCTCTTCCAGTACGCCAGCACCGACATGGACCGAGTGCTGCTCAAGTACACGGAGTACAGCGAGCCGCACGAGAGCCGCACCAACGCCGACATCCTCGAGGTGCGGCCGCCCGGCCCGGGAGGGGGCCAGGAGCCAGAACCGGGAGGCTGAGGCAGGAGGGCTGCGCGTTGGAACCCAGCCTGGCAACTTAGGGACTTAGTGAGACCCCAGGGGAAGGAAGGGAGGGAGGGCAATCAGGCGGGGTGAGGGGCCTCGTGGCGTGGCAGTGGCGCGAGGGCGTCCGAGAGACATCTGCCAGGCGGTGGTCTCTCAGGATCCGGAGCCAGCCGTGCCTGCACTCCACCCCACCCCCGCGCTGCCGTCTTCGCGTGCCACGGGGCTCCCTGGCCGCCAGTGTAAGAGCTGAGGGTCTGCTGCGTACTTCCGGTGCCCGCAGACATTGAAGCGGAGGGGCGTGGGCCTCGATGGGCCTGAGCTGGAGCCAGAGGGAGGCCCTGAGGGACCAGGAGAGAAGCTGCGGAAGCTGGCAGGGGATGGAGGCGACCCCACCCTGCCCCGACCCCGGCTGTATGTGAGTGACCCACCTCAGTCTAAATGAGGTCCTCCTGGTACCACCGGGCCCAGATGGGGGCGGCGAGGACTGAGAGAAACCTAGGGCTGGGGGACCCAGAATTCAGAGATGGTCCCCAGCCTGGGTGGAAAAGGGAGGCTGGCTAGAGCTGGGCACTATAGCTGGGGCTCTGAAGGATGAATAAGAGTTCAGCGGGCAGACAGTTCCTTATGTCTTCGACTGATCGCGTTCCCAGCAAACCTCAGTGCCGTCCTCCGCCCGCCCCGCCTCTGCCCACAGCCTGCTGCCCCCGCGATGCCCAGCCCGGACCTCGCGTACGGGGCCCTGCCGCCCCCAGGCTGCGACCCCGGCGGGCTTGGGGAGGGCCTGCCCGCCCAGAGC